AAAACGAGATTTTCAGCTAATTTTTCATTTTTTCCTCGATAACCATTTAGTGAATTTGAATAACCTTACGCTAAAGTGATTCTCCAGAGTTCAAGTTACTTATTATAAAAGTTTGAAATTACTGGTAGCTTTTTTTCTGTTAATAAAAATAAATTTAATCTGTTCGGTTAACGAATCTCCATAAAATGACGTGTAAAATTACAATTTTTTAAAGTTTCAATAACTGTTAAACGGTTTAGTGAATCGATTTGTAATTTTTACAGGAGTTTTAGAATTGAATGAGGAACTTTCTTCCAAATTTTTATTTGTCTCCTATCATTTTGACATACCTCCCAAACATCCTTAAACTATCCTTATTTAATTCTGTGTTACAATAAGAGACTGGGATGTCTTGACATTTTCAAAGTGTCGGGACATAAGACTATCCAGGATCAAAATCTCAGAACGTCCTGAGACTTCGGTACTACGATTGATGTAGAATACATTTTTGGTCAGACGTATCAATAAAATTATCACCATCATTTTTAATTCATAAAAAGAAAACAAAAATCTAACATACGAGACATTCCGAGACCCAATCTCTAGTTGTTCTTAATCTTGTTGATTTAGTGTTGATCTTGTTCGTGCGAACATGCCCGACGTAAGACATGGTCTTGCTAAATGTATTAGATCAAGACAGTTTTTGCATCACATTAGGAGAATCCAGTAAATATTTTGTTCAATTTTCCGAATTTATTTCGATAAAGCTAAGTTAATGGGAGTAGAATGAGGCAGGAGGTTGATATTTATTGACATTCTTGTCTCCCAATAACGACGAAATCGTAAAAGAATTTAAGTGAATTGGAACTAATGTCCCTTTATATTTTTCTTCAATTCCCTTGCATGAATAATAAATGCAAATACTTCACAAAATTAAATTTTTAAATCACAATTTTGCAAGAGAACCAACATAACACCCAAAAGTTATCTTAATACCGTCTGCATTTCATACACTCATAGCAGAAAACTATTTTATTCAATCATTAGGTAGCTTTCAGAATTTTTATAATTTGTAAGTAGCAGAGGTAATACATAAACTGAAATTGCTTTCTGTTATTAAAAAGAAAATATTTATCATCAAATACAAGACTTTTGTTAAACATGCTGCACCTGCTTATTATTTAAAATTCAGCATTTTATGTTTAGTATTTTATATTTTTTGGAATTCACAATGTTTCACAATTAATTGTCCCATCCAAATTTCTAATTTTTATGATGAAAATTCATTATCGATAGAGAAATGTTCCATACACAATTTTTTAA